TGGAGTTCTAACTTACAATTGACCTTCAATTTCATCTTTGCATGTTGTAGTGGACGAAACTTGTACTTCTCAAACAGTTTCTGGCTTGATCCTCTTGTCAAAAAATTCAAATATATTCACCCATACTCCATAATTTAATTCATCCATGTCACCAAGAAAATCTCCCAAAACCAGAAAATCATAGTTGATGCTACCAATGTTTTTAACATCGCCATGTTTTTCCTCTACTTTTTCAACACTAACAACTGCATCAACTTTAGCAGTATCACAACCTTCAATTAATTTGTCCACCTCACAATTGATTTCAATCAAGTCCATCACTTGATTTTTCTCGTCCAAAAATTCAACAGTCTCGATAAAGTCAACAATTTCTCTATCATCATGATTTTCAACCACATCTTTAATTCGATCAATGCTTTCACTTTCTTTCTCAACTACTTGTGAAATTTCTTCTTCAATCACAATTTCTTCACCTTTATGTGTATCCACAATTGCTTCAATTTCTTCTTTCTTTGCCTTATCAAAAACTTCTTTTTCTTCTTCCTCGTCACAAATTTCTTCTCCACCATGACCATAGGAATTTGTTAAAAATTTCCAAGCCTCCTTCGCTGTCTTTACATGTATGAATTTTTTGGCTACATGTAACTGGACTTGGGTATGGAGATAGTATAATGCCTTATAGTTCAACTGTCTATTCCTCTCTAATTGTTCAACTGCATCCCTTGATAATTTCGTGCCTTCTATAGGTTCCATGAACTCCTTTTGGATAATATTCAAAACTCCAATATTTTTGAAAAAATTCTTCATCATCGATCTCCAAATCTCAAAATTGTTTTTACCATCAAAGATAAATACACCACAACGTGGTAAATAATGCGGATCCATATTTTAATTTCACAAACAAGCTCCAAGCCCCAATTTTGCAAACAAGCCCCAGGATCAAAGCCTAGAGCTTTGATACCACTTGTTGGCACGAAAAATCCCCCTGCACATAGCGGAAACAATTCTAACGCATATAAAAATATACGGAAAGAGGAAGAGAACAAACACTCAATAATTTATTTAACTCAAAATAAATATTAAGTCGTAACATTTTGCTCATAATAACTCACAAATCTCAACTATGAGATTTTCTCTCTCGTCTAATCTCTAGACTCAACTCAACTCTACACATCACTTCTCTTCACCTCTCTTCCACTAACAACCTACTAGACTACTAGTATTTATAGACTCTAAAACTTCCTAAAACAAATATAATTGTAAACCAAAACTTATTTGGAAACTGACTTGAGATTTCCTAATCTAATATGGAAACTAAACAAATAAGATACCAAATAGGATTAGGAAACTAAATACTAAAATAGCTTGGTTTAATTTCCTTCACAAAGGACAAGGACAAAAAATTCGCTGTGGAGACGTGATCTGTGATGCATCTAAATAAAATATTTCAAATATTCTAGTACTTTAATGTGATGTGATTATAGATTATTGTGTACATTATTCTGTATATCACACCTGTGTAAGCTGAATAAATTGAACCATGTTACAGTATCTTTTTTAAATTAAAATTTAGAATTTTGTGCCAAATTCTTTTACAATAACAAATTTATTTAAACATTTCATAAAACATAATTTAACATGACAAATTTTATTGTGTATGGTAAATTTTTAGTGGCTAGTAACCCTTTTGATATTTTTCAATTTATTGGATAGCAACTTAATATAGTTATATACATAAACATAGCAAGTGTACACACATTTTTTAATCTTTTTATTTCTTGTTTTTGTGGGGAAATAACTAAAGGATGTGTTTGGATAGGAGACTAATAAACTTTTTTTTTTAATTTTCCTCGTGCCCAATTGCAGGTTAAAAGGAAGAACTCTCCACCACCTACAGTTGAAAAACAGATTTAGTCTTTTTTTTGGTAGCCACTGAATCAAAACTTAGTGAGTCTACTTGACTGGATTTTCCTTTAGTCATACCATTTTGTCATAAAAAGCGACAGATTGTTTCTTCTACCTTAGCTCACTGCACACGCCATGGTCTACTTGATTGCGGGTTTTCCTTTAATTGCACCTTTTTGTCATTAGTGACGATTGCTTCTTCTAAACCTTAGCTCACTGCACAGGCCATTCGTTTGAAAGTTAATTGTTACTGTTTGGTGAAGAGTCAAAGTTGAAATTGGTAATCGCCGAGCAATTCATCTTTTGACTCCTTGTAAATACCTGATGATACTTTTTTCTACTCATCAGCACCCAAAGCTTTTCTAAGATGAGCTTTAGTGACATTTCACTGTAATTTTGAAGTTTGAAAAGAAACGATGTTATCATCTCCTTTTCTTTTCCTATTGTCGCCCATTACTAGCGTCACCTTTGGAATGAATTGCTTCCTAACAATTCGGAATTGAGATCTGCATCTGGTTTGGTTTGCTTGTTAAACCGAACTTAAATTGAACTCGACAAGTCATGCATAACAATCGTGTGATTCTATTGATATATGTTTTTTTTTTTCGGGTTTTGCAGGTTGGTTGAACAATTGTTCAAGTTCTTGTCTCGGTTTTTACTGCTTCACCAGTATGTGGATGTTGCTGCTAAAGAAATTTGCATTTGTCGTTAGAAGAAGAATTTTCTGTTTTATGACTGGCAAGTGATTTGGGTCCATCTTTTAGTGCTTTGTTTACAATTTAATTGGGTTCAATGGTCCATCCACATCCGAACTTAGAATTTATCCTTCTATTTGCTTTTGCATGAGCAAAGATTAGCGATTTTTAATCATAATTCTGGATTCCTCTATTCCAGCTGTATATAGTGAAGAAATCTATCCCGTTGTAATTGTGTATTTGCACACCAAAACATCATTAGCCCGTCTACTTTTGACATTGTTCTTGAATTACTCGGTATAGAATGTGTATTACCTACTGCATGCAAATGCATCATCGTTAGCAATGACTAAACAGAAAATATGCCTGTAATTACTATTTTCAACTGAAATTAGCATCTAACTTATAATGATCCACATTGGTATTGACTAGAACTAAGTGATCACTAGCCCTCTTATTTTGCATTTGCATTAATCCAATATCATCAAACTTCTTCAAATGGGCTCTCTAGCTACTAAGGATGCATTTGATAAAATTGAAATTTGAAAATTGAAATCTGAAGTCTGAATCTATTAAGTTATCGAATTGTTAAGTATTAAATCAAGTACATTTGAGTGTATATTACATTCATTGATAAGTGAACAACTTATCATTTATTTTTGAGAACAAGTTTTGGTTAGGAAATTCAGTGGTACTTAATTAATTCAAATGTTCAATTTTTAATTAGCAAACGCATCTAAATATATTAAGTTTAAGTACTGAATTGCATTATCAAACATGGGCTAAGTACTAACCTCCCTCAAAAATAATTTAGACTGACTGTTGTGTTGATGTTGCAATTGCAGGAGGTTCAGAAAGGATCCAAGGCCTCACAATTTATGTTTCGTACAAATTTTGCACAAGTTGACCTTTGGTATAAATTAGTCGGATTTCGGTATAAATCAGGTCTAGTTCAATGTAAATTAGGTGTAGTTCCGTGTATCTTAATTTGTTATTATTTGGTGTAAATCAGGTTCATTTTGATAGAAGTTGATTATTATCATTAAGTATAAGTTAAGGACAATTTGGTGTAAATTGAGAATAAATTGTTAATTTACACCAACTTGTGCGAAATGGAACTTGGGAGGCCCCGTTTCAGTTCAGAAGATAATGAAATGCTTGTCAAAGATTTCTCAAGGTGTTAGGCCTATGTTCTAGGAGTTACTTAACCTATTTCCATTCTTCTCGGATGTTGTTTATTGTTAAAAGTAAATAAGCATTATGTCAGTTCAACTCATGAGCTGTGCTGTACCTGAGATAATAGTAGTTGTCTTCAATAAAATTTTTCAAAAATTTAGCGGCTCCATGCCTAGTTCTTTGAGCATCAAGGTGTTTTTGATAAAATTGAAGTCTAAAAACTGACATTTGAAGTCTGAATTCATTACAATATTGAATTATTAATTATTAAATCTAATAGATTTGACTATATATCACATTCAGTAATAAATGAATAGCTTATTACTTAATTCTGGGAGCAAGTTTTGTTTGGAAAATTCAGTGCTACTTAATTAATTCCGATGTTCAATTTTTTGTTATGAAACGCATCTGAACCTATTAAAATTTGAATCCATTAAATTTAAGTGCTGAATTAGGTTATCAAACAAGGCCTAAATTTAGTAGCCGCTGCATTCGGTACCTAAGTTAGATTCTTTGGTGCATAAGAACTAGGCACAGCATTAAACATGCCTAGTTACTGCGCTGCCTAAGAATAGGCATAGTAAATAAGCATCTATTCTTTGCCAAAATTTAGCGGCTTCATGCCTAACTTCTTGGCCAGAATCCAAACATATGGTTTACTGATCTATTCTTCATGCTTGCATGATCTCTTTTATCTCACACATTCTCATCATCATACATCTTAACACTTCTTGTATCCAGTAAATTCCTGATCATTTGCTCAATGCAATTCATGGTCGCTTTGTCTTAGCTTTGCCTGTATCCAAATAAACTTAGATGACCTTTTTGAAGAAATTAAGAAACATATGTTCAGCCATTGAAATGTCAAGCAGTATTGATTGTCTTAATTCAGTTTCTCAAAATTCCGTTTGGATATTTACCTTCTGCAAATTACATTTGCAAGTTTTCCAGTAACATTTCCAACTTAGATTGAATTGTCTTCATTATGTTTTCAATTAGAATGAAAACTACCAATGAACACTCAACAGTATTCCGAACACCCGTCTTGGCACCCCTACGCATCCGTGAGGGCACACACCTAGTATTCATGCAGCAGCTGTTGATAAGACAGGACATATCTGAAGAACAACAGATACTACAAATTGAATTCAGAACATGAGAGTTGAATTGCGTATGATCAAATTAACAATGAAGAACAAATGACGAGTTACATGATTGAACTTATTTTATCACTTTGAAACAAAGGATGATGTTTCACATTTATTTAATAGTAATTTGAATACAATAGGCTTAGATACTAACTAATTCTTCTCCCTGAAGCTCTCAACCGTATCTTTCAAGCTGACCTCCAAAGGGATAAAGTGAACTCCCAAATTCTTTGCCTTGTCATTGGATATTGTACAGTCTGAAATAATAAGGCTGCTGTTATCTGACAACCTGTAGTAGGTTAAGAAAGTTCAGAATTAACAAGTAGATAAAGCATAGGTGAAAAGAAATGCTAATGTGAAATCAAGCTCTGCAAAATCTGTTGCAGACAATAACGAGTATTTTGCCTTTGTACAAAATTTCTCTAATATATGGAGATCATTTAATCTAAAACTTTTGTTATAATCCATTTAAACTTTCTGCAAAGGGCAACGTCGTGGATTAATCGAAGGGATTCATGTATCTAAAGTTTGACTTTCCTTATGAGCTAAAACTAGAAAAAGACAAAATCAAAAACTGGCTCTGCAAAGTTCTGGTAATTTGAAAGACCTATCGAAAAGAATTTTACTTGATCTGAATCCAATTAAATACAACCACCTGAATTCAAACATCTATATTTTGCAGAGAACCATTTTGGTGATCCTAGTCATTAGAATAACCTAATTCTAGAAACGAAGCTGAGAAAGAGCATACTGTGCTACCAAAAAATGCAGAAAATTCTGGACTTGATACACTTTTTTTAAGCTTGAAATTGATACAAAAAGATGTGATAAATCTTGGACCTATATACTGCAACAGCAACAAGCCTGTAAAGGCTTACACCGACGAAATTGACAAGGAAAAAAGGACTTGCTCATTAGGAAACTGGTGAGAAGGGTAAAGTTCATGCAAAATCTTGATGACCTGAGAGGCATGGGCAGATCTCCCAACCAGGCAATATCTTCCACTTGCAGAAGGGACTTCAAAGGCTAGAATATGTGCATAGGCGACATCTCTAACATCAACCCATCTATGCGTTCCATCAGGAAATGACTCAGCCCCTGCATTCGGTGCCTAAGTTAGTAGCATCATTATGTATCTCTTCTAGCGTCTTTTTAATGCACTAAAGTATACGTACAATTAAACACCAATGGTCTCAGTCACTGGGGATAAACAAATGGCAGAGATGAAAATGTTCAGATCTAGAATCAACGGCCTGCCCTTTATTTTTTTTTGGAGAGTCTCTTGGTTCTATTTTAGTGCAATGCAAGGCCCACAACCATGAAGAGGGAGAGTTGAGGAATGAACCACTTGAGACAACCGTCATAGTTAATTATTGGTTGATCATAAGAACTATTACTCCAATGAACTTCTACTAGAACAGTTGGGCTAACAGCATGTCTTAGTTTTAGAAAGACCAATTACTAGGCAAATAACACAAGTACAAACACGACAAGACTGGTTGTCCTTCAACTAAAACAGGGGTTAAACATCGAAAGCTGAAGATACTTGTCCCTAAACCACTCCTCTAGATAGACAAAAATAAGATATTTGCAATTTTTTGTTCCAAAATAATTCAAAAATCAACCACTTCTTGCTTTACAAGTCCTGAAGTCATTGTACAAAGTGGCTATTTGGGTCGAAATATTTATTGTCAATAGGGAAAATAATAAAAGAAATCTGATTAGCAAGTAAATTCTTAAAACACAGGCAATGACTACACGGAATGAATTTTTCCTGTCAGTTCTGCCCGCAATTTTTTTTTTTTTCTCAAGGAAGACAAAATCATAACATATTTCACCCACAAGTGTTTTTCTTCCTGTAATTGCCACGGATAATGTTGAAGCATAGAAGATGCACAACATTAATTTCGAGGAAGAGGTTAGACAGCAAACCTTTTTAACATCACCAGCTGATCAGACCATATACCTTGATATATCAGTTCATATTTCTGCGTATGTCTGTCAGTTATGTATTCGTTCACAATACAAAGATAGCAGAGCCTTACAGTTTTACTTTGAGTAATAAATTCTTTGTTGTTTAATAACAGAGAAGATTTTAGTGCATGATAAAGCCATAAGCCTATGACTAACACAGATAAATAAGTTTAGACGGATGGTGATAACTTAAGTGATCTAATAATTTCTGGAGCATACCATTTACTAGGTTGAGGACCATTTCTACACTCAGATTAATAGATGGCTGCAAGAAAGGACCAATGACAAATCCTGGATTGATTGTTATTATGTTGATGCCTTGCTCCTTTGCGAATTTCCATGCAGCATCCTCTGCCAAGGTTTTTGAAAGTACATACCAAAACTACAAAAAAGAGAGAGAGAGAGTTAAAAGTCTGTATGACAGAAGAAAATAGTTGGATATTAAAAACTCATTTAAGAAGTAATGGTAAATATCTTATGTACAAAACTTGCTTACATCAGTTGGAGCTACTACTGCTGTAGCCACAAAGCACAAGGACAAGCAGTCATACCAGTGATTAAGTAAATTTCTCAATGATCATAAGATTTGTGTAAAATTTTCCTTTTAAGACTCCCTTACGTACTTTGATTTGATTATATGCAAGGACTGATGCAAAGTTGTGTCAACATACTCCTGGAAGTATATGATGTCTACCTCTATGAGTCAACAGCGAAACAACAAGGGAATTTCACTTGTGACTGATCAAGCTGAACCCATGACTTGCTAGCAGAAATTCCCGTCATCTGACTAAGCAAATACCGATCCTATTGCAACTCCTTTTACAATAATGTGGAACTTGATTTTGAGCTTCATTTTAAGAGATGTGTGGTTGACTATTGCATACTCTACTCTCTCTGGTTGATTCAATCAAACTTGCTACTTAAACAAGAAAAGGAAGGAAATTGACCAATCTGGCCAGCTTTTGAACACAGACAAGAAAAAAAATCCTTCTTTTCCTATAAAAGTACCAAGAAGTCATGAAGATCCGATCTTAATTTTCTCCACACCTAAAATAACTCCCCAATTGTTGTCTAATGACAAATTAAAAATACAGAAATCTAGCATTCCATAGGAATGTTTTAACGGAAGACAATAGATGACATACATACCTTCTGCTCTTCACAGAATCGTGGATCAGAAAACCAACTTTCATCAACTACTGCATCCTTCTTCAACTCTCTATTGAATGCAACTGCAGCCATAGAAGATGTTATAACGAATCTCTTGATATATGAAACTTTTGCACACGATCGTAGGACATTAAGTGTTCCCCTGCAGGTTCCAGTAGTTCTGCCTAGAAATGAAACAAAAGAGAAAATGAAGTCATTATTGTATCCTGCACAATCATGCTCCTAATCTGTTTCCAAATTTTAGTATAAGTTCTGTAAACCTACACAATCAGTTAAATAGCTAAAAAAATAACATAGAATTCTTGTTGAATAATGTGCTAAATCAATTAGCTTGATTAATGAGGTAGTTGGAAAGCTTTCTAGATAGTTGCAATATTCTCTAGAATGATGGAAATTAAGAGAGTTGGTGGGATGGTTGGAACATTTCTCTATGTATCTAGAATGATCATTTACAAGCATAAATAGACCTTGTAAACTCCAAACCAATATAAGAGAGTGAAAGTGTTAGGACCAGGCCAGGAAATAGACAAACTCAAGTTAGCACAAATTAGGCGGTATAACCGACCATATAATAGATAGGCGGTAGATACCAGCCATATAATAATTAGGCGGTAAAACCGACCATATAAAGACGGATAACAAAGCAAATAAAAGACACAGAAGATTTACGTGGTTCGGTTAAATTGACCTACGTCCACGGGTGAGGGAGGAGCAATATTTCTACTATGAAGAAGAAATACAAAAGCCGTAGGAAAGTGGTTCCTAGGCCAATAGGCACTTACAAAAGAGTTTAGAAAATATTCCTAAACTCAAAACAAGAGAGCCAAAAATATTTAACTGAATGGGCTAGATGACTCAAGAAGCTAATAGCCCATATAACTCTCTTGAGTGGTGCAAATGTCTTCACCACCAAGGCCATATATTTATAGGCCCTGATGAGCCGTCTTCCTCTGGCTTTGTCCGATGTGGGACAAACGCCACATTCAACAAATCTCCACCTTGGCGTGGTCCCAACATCGACAAATATTCTCCACCTTCGCTACATAAGCCCCAATGGGCCGAAATCACGAACAATGAACACCAACCAAATCCAAGCACTGCTTGAATTTGTAAAGTGGAAGAGGTTTTGTAAACATATCGGCTGGATTGTCCTTAGTATTGATTTTCTGAATAAGGACCTTTCCTTCAGCAATGATATCCCGAATGAAATGATATTTCACATCAATATGTTTCGTCCTCTCATGATACATCTGATCTTTAGTCAAGTGTATGGCACTTTGACTATCACAGTGAATATCAATAACACCTTGATATAGACTTAGCTCGCTAAATAAACTCTTCAACCACAAGGCTTCTTTGATTGCCTCGGTCACAGCCATATATTCTGCTTCTGTAGTAGACAAAGCTACGACAGGTTGTAGAGTAGCTTTCCAACTAATAGCACAACCGCCAATGCAAAATACATAGCCTGAAAGCGATCTTCTCCTGTCAAGATCTCCAGCATAGTCTGAGTCTACAAAACCAACCAAAGTATTATTATTTCTTCCAAACTCCAAACATACATTTGAAGTATCTCGCAAGTATCTGAGAATCCACTTCACAGCCTGCAATGTGTTTTACCAGGGCAAGACATATATCTGCTAACAATACTGACTGCTTGTGCAATATCTGGACGAGTACAAACCATTGCATACATAATACTGCCGACTGCACTGGAATAAGGAACCGTGCCATATAATCTTCCTCTTCATCTGATTTTGGTGATTGAGCAGCAAATAGCCGAAAATGGCTAGCAAGAGGAGTAGATACTGATTTAGCATCTTTCATGCCAAAACGCTCCAAGACTTTTTCAAGGTAATTTTTCTGGGTCAAAAACAACTTCCTACTCCTCGATCTCGATTAATAACCATGCCAAGAATTTTCTTAGCTGCTCCCAAATCTTTCATTTCAAATTCACTATTTAACTGCAGTTTCAAGGTGTGAATTTCTGACAAATTCTTGGCAGCAATGAGCATGTCATCAACATATAACAATAAGTAAATGAAAGAACCATCATTTAACTTCCGGAAGTAAACACAGCTATCATACATGCTCCTCAAATAACCATGACCTAACATAAAGGAATCAAACCTTTTATACCATTGTCTTGGAGACTGCTTCAATCCATATAAGGATTTCTTCAACAAGCAAACATGGTCTTCCTTACCTTCAATTTCAAAACCCTGGGGTTGTTTCATATAAATTTGTTCTTCAAGTTCGCCATGCAAGAAAGCTGTCTTAACATCAAGCTGCTCTAACTCTAAATCATACATGGCAACTAAAGCAAGCAAAACACGAAATAGAGCTATGTTTAACAACAGGTGAGAATATATCATTAAAATCAACACCTTGTACCTGACTATAGCCCTTTGCAACTAATCGTGCTTTATATCTTGCATCTTCAACCCCTGGAATACCTTCCTTTTTCTTGAAGACCCACTTGCAACCAACAATTTTCTTAACTGACGCGGCTTTACAAGAACCCAAGTTTCATTTTGATGAAGAGATTCAATTTCTTCATTCATCGCAATCAACCACTTTGCAGAATCATCACAAGAAACTGCTTCTGAATAGGTGGAAGGCTCACCAACTGCATCAGTTTCTTCTGCAACAGACAAAGCATATGCAACTAAATTTGCATATCTTTGTGGTGGTCGAATGTCTCTCCTTTGTCTATCTCTGGCTATGGAATACTCCTCTTCTTCTGAACTATCTTCAACAGTAGATTCAGGTGTATCTACTGGCACTTGCTGAATAGAAGATTTGGATTGAGAAGGACCAGAACTGCCAATATCAAGCTCCACCTGCTTCTGTGTACTATCAGTAGTACAAGGACTAGAAGACTCCTTCTTGGAAGATAACATAGACAATTCATCAAAAGTAACATCTCTACTGATTACAAATTTTGGGATTTGGGATCAGGATACCATAATCTGTATCCTTTCACCCCAGAAGCATACCCAAGAAAAATGCACTTTTTAGCCCTAGGCTCCAATTTTCCATCATTCACGTGCATGTATGCTGGACACCCAAAAACTTTTAAATTGGAGTAATCAGCAGGAGTACCTGACCAAACTTCCTCAGGAGTTTTGAAATCAAGAGATGCAGAAGGAGAACGGTTGACAATATAACAGGCCATATTGATCGCCTCTGCCCAAAAGTCGTTTGTCAACCCTGCATTGGAGATCATACATCTTGCTCTCTCCAAAAGCGTTCTGTTCATACGTTCAGCCACACCATTTTGTTGAGGCGTCATCCTGACGGTGTGATGCCGAACAATTCCTTCATTTTTGCAAAATTCATTAAATTCACCTCCACAAAATTCCATGCCATTATCTGTTCTCAACCGCTTAACATGTTTTCCTGTTTGTTTCTCAATCAAAACTTTCCATTGCTTGAAAGTTAGGAAAACATCATTTTTATGCTTAAGAAAATAGACCCAAACTTTCCTTGAATAGTCATCAATGAAAGTCAACATGTACCTGGCACCACCTTTAGAAGGAGCACGAGAAGGACCCCATAGATCTGAATGAATGTAATCAAGAGTACCTTTTGTCTTGTGAATTGCTGGTGAACTGAAGCTGACTCTTTTCTGCTTCCCAAAAATACAATGTTCACAGAATTCCAATGGACCGGTACTTTGTCCACAGAAGTCCTCTTTTGCTCAGTATGCCCAAGCCTTTTTCGCTCATGTGCCCCAAACGCATATGCCATAATTTGGTGATGTCTGTATCTGACAAAGATGATGTTGAAACAGCAGCAGCACCTGTCACAGTAGATCCCTGCAAAATATAAGTACCAGATCTGTGTGCCTTCATAACAACAAGAGCTCCTCGAGTGATTTTGAGAACTCCGTCTCCACCTGAATACCTGCACCCGATAGACTCAAGAGTGCCCAAAGAGATGAGATTTTTCTTCAAATCTGGAACATGTCTAACATTTGTGAGCGTCCTCACAATACCATCGTACATTTTAATCCGGATTGTGCCTTTGCCAACAACTTTACAAACAGCGTTGTTGCCCATTAAGACAACTCCACCTTCAGTTGATTCATATGTTGAAAACCAGTCCCTATTGGGACACATATGATATGAACAACCCGAATCTAAAATCCACTCATTGTTAGACCTAAAATTATTTTCCGTTGCACAGAAAATAGTTCCATCATTCTCATCAACGGCAATACTAGCCTCGGTGGTTTCACTCCTTTTCTCCTTTTGCTTTTCTTTATTTTTCAATTTAAAGCAATCAGAGATAATATGGCCCTTCTTTTTACAATAGTTGCACACCACATTTTTATGTCTGGACTTGGATCTACTTCTATTTTCTGTGTTTCTCTTTCAGATCTACCCCGAACAAACAAGCCATCAGCTTGACTCCCACTAGTTTCCCCAGTAATATCCCTATCTATCTGCTCTTTAGATTTTAATGCAGATTTAATTTCCCGATACGAAATTGTTTCCTTTCCATATATCATAGTATCACGGAAATGCTTAAAGGATTGGGGAAGGGAACACAAAAGTAATAGGGCTTGATCTTCATCATCAATTTTCGAATCTATATTCTCCAAATCCATAATAATGGAATCAAATTTATCAAGATGGGAGAGTATAGATGTACCTTCAGACATCCGAAGCATGTACAAACTCTGCTTCAAATATAGCCGATTCTCGACTGTCTTCTTCATATACAAGGCTTTCAATTTATCCCACATAGCCTTGGCCGAAGTCTCCGTTGCTACCTCACGCAATACCTCATCGGAGAGATTTAGGATAATACTGGATCTTGCCTTCTTATCCATCTCAGCAAAATTTGCATCTGTCACATCTTCTGGTTTTTCTCAATTCCTTGAATTGCCAAATCAACTCCGTCTTGAACAAGAATGGCCTCCATCTTGAGCTGCCACATGCCGAAGTTGACATTCCTGTCGAATTTCTCGACAACCGTCTTTGTTATCGTCATTGTTGCCACAAAATCTGTAACTTGAATTTGTCTCAAAAAACTGGCCAAACAAATATGCAAGTCTCGTGAGCGGGCCCCACAGGGTGAGCGACCCCACGAGATAAGCGGGCCCCACGGGGATGAACGGACCCCACAAGGTGAGCGGGCCCCACGGATAAACGGACCCCACAGGATGAGTGGGCCCCACAGGATGGACGGACCCCACCAGATGAACGGGCCCCACCAGATGAACCTGTCTTGCAAAATATAACAACCAGCTCTGATACCAGTTTGTTAGGACCGGGCCAGGAAATAGACAAACTCAAGTTAGCACAAATTAGGCGGTATAACCGACCATATAATAGATAGGCGGTAGATACCAGCCATATAATAATTAGGCGGTAAAACCGACCATATAAAGACGGATAACAAAGCAAATAAAAGACACAGAAGATTTACGTGGTTCGGTCAAATTGACCTACGTCCAGGCGGGGAGGAGCAATATTTCTACTATGAAGAAGAAATACAAAAGCCGTAGGAAAGTGGTTCCTAGGCCAATAGGCACTTACAAAAGAGTTTAGAAAATATTCCTAAACTCAAAACAAGAGAGCCTAAAATATTTAACTGAATGGGCTAGATGACTCAAGAACTAATAGCCCATATAACTCTCTTGAGTGGTGCAAATGTCTTCACCACCAAGGCCATATATTTATAGGCCCTGATGAGCCGTCTTCCTCTGGCTTTGTCCGATGTGGGACAAACGCCACATTCAACAGAAAGAAATAAAAGAAAGAAACAATTGAAGCCACCCTTGTCTCCAAATATTCCTCTCAATTCTTGGCCTAATATCCAATAGATTGGTATCAGAGCTAAGGTTTCATTGCCTTAGTTCATACCCCAAAACCAGAAAATTTTGAGAGATTTCTAACTACAAGATGACCAATCATACTAGTGATGGTCTTCCAATTCCCATATTCTCCGGTGAGCACTATGATCATTGGTTCGTAAAAATGAGAACAATTTTTAGATCACAAGATTTGTGGGAATATGTAGAGAATGGCTATAGAGAACCAGAAAGTGAAGAAGGTCTCACCAATCAAGAATTAAAGGCACTTAAAGAGCATAGGAAGAAGGATGCAAAGGCTCTTTCACACATCCAGCAAGGTGTGAGTTCAGATATTTTTTCAAGCATTATGGGAGCTATCATGCCAAGGAAGCATGGGAGATTCTACAAAAGGAGTTTCAAGGAAATCTTAAGGTAAAGAATGTTACTCTTCAAACTCTTAGAAGAGATCTTGAAAATTTGAAGATGTGTGATGATGAAAGTATTCAAAATTACTACACAAAAATCACCACAATTGTAAATGAAATGAAAACCTTTGGTGAAGAAATTAGTGATAGCAGAATTGTTGAAAAAATTCTTGTTAGTTTGCCTCCAAAATTTGATCCAATGGTATCCATAATTGAGGAGACAAAAGATATTTCTTCAATGAGTGTTCAAGAGTTGATGGGATCGTTGAAAGCTCATGAGAGAAGATTGGCTAGACATGCTGAAAAATCTGTTGAAAACGCATTCCAATCAAAGCTGAATGTCACCCCCAAAACCAATGAACGAGAGCCATCTTGCAACTACCAAAGAGGTGGAGACTCACAAAGAGGAGGTAGATATGGCCGTGGAAGAGGCAGAGGCAAAAATTCAAGAGGAAGAGGAAGAAACAACCTTCAAAGAGGCCTTAATGCTGAAAATTCACAACCTTGCAGCTATTGTGGTAAGACCAACCATCTTGAGAAAGACTGTTGGCATAAAGACAAACCAAAGTGCTACTATTGCAAGAGGTTTGGTCATATTGAGAAGGATTGCAGATTCAAGACCAATCACCAAGCACAATTTTCAGAAGACAAGCAAGGAGAAGGAAACTTATTCTACGCTTGTCACACAGCCACTGAAGTCAAGAACAATATGTGGTACCTTGACAGCGGTTGTAGCAATCATATGACAAGAGATAGATCCATTTTTATTGACTTGGATGAATCTATAAAGACTGAAGTGAAGATGGGCAATGGAGTCATAGTTCAAGCACAAGGATTGGGAACAATTGGTGTCCAAACCAAGCAAGGTATGAAGTTCATTTGTGATGTTTTGTTTGTTCCTGATTTAGACCAAAATTTATTGAGTCTTGGACAGCTTCTTGAGCATAAATATGCACTTAACTTTGATGATCATGAGTGCTGCATCTATGACAAAAAGAATGGTAGACAGCTTGTGATGAAAATCCAAATGCAAGCAAATCGAAGCTTTCCAATCAAATTCAATTATAGTGAAAATCAAGCCTTGAAAGTAAATGTCAATGAAGATTCATGGTTGTGGCACAAGAGGTATGGCCATTTGAATTTTCATAGCCTCAAAGTGCTTCAACAAAGAGGGATGGCATATGGTTTACCAAGAATTGAGGAGAAACATATGAAGTTTGTGAAGGTTGTGCACTTGGCAAACAACACCGGCAACCATTTCCTAAAGAAGCTGCATGGCAAGCCAAGAAGATCTTGGAGCTGATTCATACGGATATTTGTGGGCCCATGAAGACAACTTCTCATGGAGGTAACAAGTATTTCATCCTTTTCATTGATGATTTTTCAAGAATGACTTGGGTCTAGTTCATGAAAGAAAAATCCGAGGTGCTTTCAATTTTCAAGAAGTTTAAAAGTCTTGTTGAGAAACAAAGTGGCCGTTACATCAAGAAGTTGAGGAGTGATCGTGGTAAGGAGTACACGTCAAATGCAGTCCAAAAATTTTGTGAAGATGAAGGTTTGGAGAGGCAGCTGACCGTTGGCTATACACCACAACAAAATGGAGTCTCAGAAAGAAAGAACCAAACTGTGATGGAGATGGCAAAATCCATGTTACATGACAAAGGGTTGCCAAAGGAATTTTGGGCTGAAGCCGTTTATACAGCTGTGTATTTGCTCAATAGAAGTCCTACAAAGGCCGTGTGGAATCAAACTCCAATTGAAGCATGGAGTGGAAGGAAACCATCAGTGAAACACTTGAAGGTTTTTGGGAGCATTTGCTATGCTCAAATTCCAAAAGAAAAGAGGTACAAGCTTGATGAAGTAAGTGAAAAATGTATTTTTGTTGGTTATAGCTCCAAGTCTAAAGGTTATAGATTGTTTAATTTGAAGACTAACAAAATCATTATTGGTCGAGATGTTGTATTTGATGAAAATGCTGCTTGGAATTGGGATGAGAAAAAGATTGTGAAGCAGGGTGTTTGCCATCATAAAGAAGAAGAAAATTCAACAAATGAAGAAGAAAATGGTGATGATTCAACACCAACAAGCAGTCCACCACCATCTCCAAATTCAAGTTCGAGTTGGAGTTCTCCAAACACAACTCCAATGAAAATAAGGAGTTTAAGTGATGTTTATGCAAGATGCAACTTTTGCATTCTTCAACCAGAAAATTTTGAAGAAGCATATGCAGAAAAGGATTGGAGAAAGGCAATGGAAGATGAAATTTATGCAATTGAGAAAAATGAGACTTGGAAGCTAGTTGAAAAGCCTCGAGACAAGGAGGTCATTGGTGTCAAGTGGATTTACAAAGTTAAGATGAATCCAAATGGTTCAATCCAAAAGAAGAAGGCAAGACTTGTTGCTAAGGGTTATTCACAACAGCCCGGAATTGACTACAATGAAACATGTGCACCGGTTGCAAGATTTGATACAATTAGAGCTCTCATTGCCATAGCAGCCCAAAAAGGTTGGAATCTCTACCAACTTGATGTTAAATCTGCCTTTTTGAATGGAGAATTGAAGGAAGGGGTGTATGTTCAACAACCTCAAGGTTTTGTCAAAGAAGGACAAGAAGACAAAGTGTATAAGTTGAAGAAAGCATTATATGGATTGAAACAAGCTCCAAGGGCTTGGTATAGTCAAATTGATTCTTACTTCATGGAGCAAGAATTCAAGAAGAGTAAAAGTGAGCCAACCTTATATGTGAAAACTCAAGGCAACTCAGACATTCTCATTGTTGCTTTATACGTTGATGATTTGCTTTACACTAGTAACAATGAGAAGATAATTGCTGATTTTAAGAAAGACATGATGAAAAGATATGAAATGAATGATATGGGACTGCTACATCATTTTCTTGGTATGGAGATTTATCAACATGGTGATGGAGCTTTTATTTGTCAAAAGAAATATGCTGAAAATATTCTTGTGAAATTTGGCATGGCTGATTGTAAACCTATGGCTACACCACTTGTTGTAAGTGAAAAGCTTGTCAAGGAAGATGGTGAAAAGAAAGTTGATTCCATTTTGTATAGAAGTTTGGTGGGAAATTTGCTTTATCTCTCAGCTACAAGGCCAGATATCATGTTTGCTTCAAGTTTATTATCAAGGTTTATGCACAATCCCAGTCAATTACATCTTGAAGCAGCCAAGAGAGTGTTAAGATACATCAAAGGGACACTCGATTATGGCATCAAATTCAGCAAAAGCACTACTTTAAATCTGCATGGTTATTGTGATAGTGATTGGGGTGGATGCCTTGATGATATGACGAGCACCTCAGGCTATTGTTTTTCGCTTGGTTCTGGAGTATTTTCTTGGGCATCAAAGAAGCAACAAAGCGTGGCACAATCATCAGCTGAAGCTGAATATGTATCCGCAAGTTTGGCAACATCACAAACCATTTGGCTTAGGAGAATTCTTGAAGATATTGGTGAGAAGCAAAAGGAAGCTACGGTGATGTTCTGTGACAACAAATCAGCAATTGACATTGCCAAAAATCCAGTTTATCATAGCAGAACTCGCCATATTGCAATCAAGCACCATTTTATTCGAGATGCAATTGAAGATGGTGAAGTTGAACTAAAATTTTGCAAGAGTGAAGACCAAGCTGCAGACATCTTTACCAAGGCACTTCCAAAAGACAAGTTCAACTATTTTCGAGAGATGCTTGGAGTTCAAGGACATCACATTAAGGGGGGAATATGTTGAATAATGTGCTAAATCAATTAGCTTGATTAATGAGGTAGTTGGAAAGCTTTCTAGATAGTTGCAATATTCTCTAGAATGATGGAAATTAAGAGAGTTGGTGGGATGGTTGGAACATTCTCTATGTATCTAGAATGATCATTTACAAGCATAAATAGACCTTGTAAACTCCAAACCAATACAAGAGAGTGAAAGAAATAAATGAAAGAAACAATTGAAGCCACCCTTGTCTCCAAATATTCCTCTCAATTCTTGGCCTAATATCCAACAATTCTCCTATCTCTTTCTGCACTTGCGAATGACGGTATTAGATCAAATGTTAAGTTATGCTTTTACTTTTGAGATTTCACTGGGTGACAATGGACAATCTTTAGACCAGATGATGTTTCCACCAGAGATAGTCAAATAAGTCTCAGATCTGGTTGTTAATAAAATGTGTTACCAGAAGTTCCAAAGATCAGCTAGCTAAGTACATTGAAACTGTGGTTACAAAAAGGCAGAGAGAGAAAATAGAAGAGATACTGCTTCTACAACTCTTGCAAAGAGATTCAGCAGAAAAATAAAATGAAAGCAATAAAGGGTTAATTATCAAACTTATTTGATGTCAGTGAGTCAATGAAAGATGAATTAGATAGCTTTGTTCACTGAAATTACTAAAATCAAAATTTTAGAGAGTTACTTAACGGGAATTCCACAAACACAATTAGAGAACAGACAAGGATACGCGCACTACATAAAGCAATAATGTATAAGAAACAAAACACAAATTATATCATAAGAACTAAACACAAAAATAATAAAAGCATGAGTGTTAAAAACATTGTAAAATATGCTATGTGCAATCAAGCACAAATGATCAAGTGATCTTTCACAATGGTATATGCACTCAAACAGGTAACTGGACAAAGTAAATTATGCACTCAATTTTGTGCAGCTTTAATGTTAAATTCTTGAACATTCACATATGGAATATATTGAACATTCATAGAAATATTCTTAAACACTCTCATAGTTAGAATATTTTTCCTTTTCATCAATTTTTACAAGTAATTTATTGACAATCATTTCAAAAGTAACATATGTAACATTCGACGCAAGTATTTTTGTGCTTGTATTATTAAAAGCATTGGCCATTTTTTCGTTTCGATTGTTTTTTTTTCAAAAAAAAGTTTTACATTTTTCGTGAACGCATTTTTTAATCATCTTTTTATCTCATATATATCAAATCATTATAACACATTTTTCTATAAAAAAAAAACTCCAGAAATAGCAATCCAAACTGGCTAGTTTGTGGTGGTTACACCATATTTATAATTTACATACGCTTTTTCCACTTTGACAATTCATACATTCTCAAATCCACTTTGAATTGATTATTACCAAATTAACGTGAAGAATAAATGACAAATTACATGAATGAACTCATGTACCATTTCTCACAAAGGATAATGTTTCACATTTATTCATTGGTAATTTAAATACAATACAACAATGCCTTGGCTAAGATGCTAACTAAATTCTTCTTCCTGAAGCTTTCAATCATATCCTTTAAGCTGACCTTCAAAGGAATAAATCGAACTCCTAAATTCTTTGCCTTCTCATTGGATACTGTGTGGGCTGGATAAAAAAGGTTGCTATAGTCTGACAATCTGCAGTATGTTAAGAAAATTCAGAAAAGACAAGTAAGCATAGTTGAAAAGAAAATGCTCATGTAAAATTAAACTCCACAAAATTTGCAGGAGACAGTAATGCTTCACAAGCATTTTGCCTTTATATAAAATTTCTGTCATATATGGTAAGAAATTTAGTTTAAAACTTTTGTTACAATCCATTATATCAAAGGAATTGCATGGATTAATGGAAGGGCTGTATTTATCTAATTAACTTTTGAACTTTCCATATGAACTAAAACTAGAAAAAGACAAAATCAGAAAATGCTGGCTGAGACAAAACCCTGGTAATTTGAAAAACCTGGCAAACAGAATCTTAGGTGACCAGAATCAAATTCATTTCCATCACCAAAAACTCAATTATTTATAATTTGGAGAGGAAACCAATTTGGAGATCCTACTTCTAAGAAGAACCTAATTCTAGAAACAAATTTGAGAAAGAGCTCATTTGATGAGAACAGGAGACAAAAGATGCAGAAAATTCTGGATTTGATGTATGTACTTTGTTAAATATAAACAAAAATTATGCGATACATCTTGGAGGTGCATATTGCCATCAACAACAGCCTATAAGGACATATACTGACAAAATTGACAAGGAAAAAGAGACTTACTTATCCAGAAATTTATGAGTAGGGTAATGTCCACGCAAAATCTTGATGACCTGAGAGGCATGTGCTGATCTCTCAACCAGACAATATCTTCCACTTGCAGAAGGGATTTCAAAGGCAAGAATATGCGCATGGGCAACATCTCTAACATCAACCCATCCAAGAGTTACATTAGGAAATGCTCCAGCCCCTGCATTCAATGGATAATGAGATCTTTAAGGATATACACTATTGTCTTTTCACCTCTCCTCCAGATAGGCAAACAAAAGTAATTTCCAATTTTAAGTTCCAGAAGATTTGAATTAGCAATCACTTCTTGAAATGAAAGTCCTATCATCACTGTACAAGGTGGCCATTTAGCTCCAAAGAGTCAGTGTCAATGGGAGAAGTAATAAAACAAGCTGATTAGCAAGTAGTCTTAAGACACAGGCAGTGACAACACAGAATAAATTTTTCCTGTCAGAGCCCTCCCAAAAAATTCCTCAAGGAAGAAAAAGTTATAACATCTTCCACCCCAAAAAGTGTTGTTCTTCTTGAAATTTGCATAGAATCTCAATGTCAAAGAATAGAAGATGCAAGCAACATGAACGTCAGAAAAATGGTTGGACAGCAAAGCTTTTTGGCATGACCAGCTGATAGACCAGATAGCTTGATATATCAGTTCACATTTCTATCAATGTCAGTGTGCTCCATTACAATAATAAGCTAGCAGAACCTTACAATTTTATTAGTGTCATAGATACTTTGTTGTACGATAACAGAGAACATTTTAGTTCATGATAAAGCTATAACAAAACACAGATGAACATCATCTAATACAGCTCACGACATACCATTTACTAGGCTCAGAATCAATTCTATGGTGAGATTAATAGATGGCTGCAAGACTGGACCAACTACGAATCCTGGACCAACTACGAATCAATTCTGTAATTTTTTAATTATTCTAAATTAATGGTAACTGAATGATTGGGTTTGTATCAGAAAAAGTTAATTTGAAACACCCCTCATAGCATGTTGTTTGATTAGAACAGGGTTTTTCTAAATCTTAAAGCGATTGAAAAATTGAACTCTACGGTCGTTCCTAGAGTTATTTTGCAATTAGTGTAATAGCTAATAGTCGTACCTTGGTTATGTAAGGATCGAAGACAACCTAAGAGGGGGGATTAGGTTATTTAAAAAACAATCAAATTGTAAGACTCTTTTTCTTCAATTTGAAACTTACCCTCTTTTTTAGATGACCAAACAATGTAGCAATTAATGATCAAGATTGCTTGTGAGTAGAAGAGAAAGACAGTTTGCATTTGCGATATAGTAAGCAGTAGAGAAAGGATAAAAACCAGAATCACTTCCAAACTCCTCTTGAGCTTGGATACGCTTTATAGAATAAGCTTTTTCGAGTTGATCAATAACAACCAATCTTTGTGTACAAAGGAAGGATCACTTCCTCCTTGCCCCAAGCTACACTTGGTCAAGTTAAGAAGTTTTACTATCACTCGTATAACCCTCACAAAACTAAACTATTGAAGTAATTTTCTCACACAAGAAAAGGTTCTATGAAATTTACACAACTAAGAGTACAAATCTTTCTTGAAGAGTATTTTCTCACTAAAATCACTATTGATATGATGTAATCTCAATATGCAAAGTTATTTTTAAACGGTTGACTTTGTTCTATTTATATGAGACCAAAAATTTCTTCAATTAATGCTTTCAACGGATAGAAGGCAGTTATAAGTCAACTAGCCATTGATAGTGTCGGACGTCCGGTGGACCTATTTCTTGCGTTCGAACGCAGGCAGTGAGCTCAAAAAAATTTCTTGAATTATTTCGAACTTCCGATACCTTTAGTGTATGCGTCCAAATGTAGGAGTGAAACTGAGAATTCTTCTTCAATCTTTCGGACGTTCGGTGCCTCCAAAGTTTTGTGTCCAAAGTGTCGCAATGTTTGTCGGACATCGGTCGCTCTGATGATGTGCATCCGATCAAAGTCAGTGAATTTAGAAAGAATAACTTAATATTATCGGATGTTCAAGAGTGCAGTTCTCTATACGTCCGAAGTTGCGCAATGATTGTCGGACGTCCGATCTAGTCTTTTTGTGCGTTCGACAGCGCTTTAGTATTCGATCATGTGCTTAGTTTTTAAACATGTTTTGCTCCATTTCTGAAAAGATATATTAAGAAAATATTAATAACATCCATTTATTTTGTAATCATCAAAAGCTACGGACTGAGATAAACAATCTCCCCTTTTTGATGATGACAAAACAATGGATGGAGAAAAAATAATTGAGCCAAAAAACTCCCCCTTAGAATAATTTCCTCTCATGTATAGATCACTGGACACTCCCCTCAGAATGACTTCCCTTTACGTATAGATTACACTTATTACTAAATTGCATATCCATTTCTCCTCCTTTTTGTCACCATTAGATCAACCAGAAACCAGTATCTAATAACCAGAAATCCAACATCATCAATATTATCAGCAATTATCAACAACCAGAAACCCGAAACCCAACAATGATATCAGCAATTATCCTGTCAGCAGTCAAGATCGTCAACATTATGAATATCATCAACATTGACAATCAATATCAGAAATCAGAGACGACCAAATAAAATTAAGAGTTAACCAAATAAAGGACAATCCACAAAAGCAACATCATTCAGAGTATAAAGATAATCAAATAGTTTTACAAACCAGCGGAGAAAGGAAATAGAATCCTTAATACAGAATAAATGACAATGTTTAAAATGCAAAAGATGCAAAAGTCTATTATGAACTACCATCCTAAACATGAAGTGCAATTGCCTAGAAGTGACTAAATGGTGATCTTGGACGATCCAGACCCCTCCTTGTTAGGTGGAACTGAGCATGATCCACTTCTTCCTCTTCAGTTTACTCATTATTATCCTCTTCAATTTCCTTTCAGTTGCTGGAGCCTTCCTTTGTCTTGTGGATGAGAAACTGGAAGCACGAAATTTCTGGAGTAGTTTCAGTACGAGGAGTTTGATCAGTTGGCTCAGTTCTAGACTCCTTTTGTGTACATTCTCATTCATCTTGAGGAACAGGAGGCCACAAGCAAATTTCTTTTGTCAATGAAGGTGGCTTGTTGGTCAGGTGACATAGTCATCCATCAGACCATCTTCAAGAAGTAGGATGTGTTGTTTGAGATTCTCAAGCAAAGAAATGACCTCAGAGTTAGATGAAGAGGATTTAGTGGCTGACCTTCTAGGATGGATAGTAAAGAATGAGACATACATGGACTGATCTCGAGGAGTCTTAAGGGAGACAGGTGTTTCATGATGATTTTTTCTCCTAAACTCCAAAACAGTTTCCTTGTAGCACCATTTACCATAAAAAAACTTTAGATTTTTTCTTTCAAAATATGCCTTTGAAAAGACAGTGGATGTATTTTCTTTTGCGTGATTTGTCAGTGAAGGGAATTTGAAATGAGCAAAAATTGGGGTCGAAAATTTTTCATAGAAAAGTTTTCTACGGCTATCAGTGCTGATTTTGAGTAAGAATTTGCACATAACAAAGCCGAAATCAATTTGAATTTTTTCAAGAAAGCAGTAAAACAGGTAAAGCTCCATTTTGTTGGCATTTATCCTATGATTATCAGTAGGAACTAACAGATTTGAAATTATAGAGAAGATGATCAAGTTTTGAGGGTTGAGATCCTCCAATCTTGCCTCAACAGGAGTATTAAAATGAGTTTGAAAATAAGTCATTAGTTTTGCAACATGAAATGATGATAGGCCAGAAGCAAATTCTTCATATGAGAAAAAAATTACAATTTTTCCTTTAAAAACTATCTTCAATTTTGATTTTCAGAACAGTGTTGACAATGTCAGGGTTTAACTCTATATCAACAGAATTGACACATGAAACTAGATCAGTGTGTGATCTACCTTTCCTAAGATTGGCAAAGAATTGATGAAGCATGTCAGGGTAACAAGTGTTGGGAATAGTCAGAATATGAGTCCATTTTTGGAAAGCAAAAAAGTTCAAGAATAGGTTCAAGGTCAAGTTTACGGAATTCAGAAGGGAGAATGGTTCTTTGAATGATGAAATCCTTCTGTGAAATCCATTCGAATCTCTCCCTGGCATCATCATCAATGAACTTTGATAGTGGGTAAGTTTCTCTGCAATTTGAGTCTCAGGTTGCTCCCTGGCAGTTCGTTTCCTCTTTCCACTTAGTGGAGTATATCATGTACATCGGTCTATCCACCAGACCTTGTTCTTGATGACTTTCTGGTGAAAGTCTCAGTGGCTTGCTGATTCTCAGCATTTTGCTCAGCAGTTTGCTATTCCTCAATTTGCTCAACAGAAGGATCAGCAGTTTGCCTTTCCTTAGTTTGAGCAGTCTTCTTCTTTTTAGCAGACCGTTTCCCCTTTTTACTATGAGATTCAGTCCCTTTTTTGGGTGATTTCGTGATGGATGCGTCAACATTAGTAAGCTGCTCCAATTCCTCTTCACTATCACTAACATGAGGCAATGCAGTTTGTTCAGCAGAAGTAGTTTGTCGTTCCTCTGAATGTTTCTTGTGGGCCGAACCTTTCCTTTTTCTACCATGGTTTTTTATTCCTCTCTTTGGAGATTTGGTGGTGGATGGCTTATCAATGTCAATGTCTTCATCCTCAACATGACTTTGTGGTGCGTCCGGCATTGACAGACCCTCTTCTAATTCTTACCATGATGAGATGCAGGATGGTTATGTTGCAAAGTACGATGCAGATGTGTATGAGAGTAACTTAGGGTGCGAATGGACTACAACAAATGCTTGACTCGCCCAAAGAGAGTGAATTTTGAGTAGTTAGGGTTACAGGTGAGAATTGGGATTTATGGGGTAGTTGGCAGTTAGACGAAGTTATGAAGGGTAATGAACGGGCAAAAGGAATGTAATGATTTTGGACAAATCAATTTCTCAGAAGTTGTTCAGAAGAGAGATGAATTTTGAATTTGAAATTGGACGAAAATGAAGAGTTGCGTCCGAGACAACTGTAAGAAAAAATGAACTGATTGAAAGAAGGGACTATCTTATAAGACGTAATTTTTGAATGTCAGACGGCCGAACGAAGTGAAACGTCCGACACAACCGTTCGAAACAGAACTTTCTGGAAAAGTGAACAAGGACACTGTCAGACGTCCGTTTTAATGCATCGGATGTCCGATAAAGAGTGACCAGAGAATTTTTAGAATATTTTTTTGAAACATCCAATTTTGTTCTTAAATACACAAATGGATCCAGTGGTAAAGCTTTTGTGAGAATATTAGCACTTTAATATTTTGAGCAGATATATTGAACACGAATTTCACTCTTTTGGATACGATCGTGAATGAAATGA